TATTTAAAAAAATGTTATTGAAGCAGCAAGAACATTTTTTTAAATAGGATATTTTTAGTGCTAATACAGTGTTTTTCATAGCATCATTAATCAAGGCTGTCTGTCATAGCGCGACACTCATTGTGGCCTATGTCTCTGGCAGACAAACACAAACTATTTACAAACCTCAGTTTATACTTTACAGGAAAAATAATCAAAGAGCTCCCAATGTTAATTAGGGCTTCTCTAAAGCTTTTCATTTACATGGACCCAAAAGAGAGGGGGAGGACATTTTAAAAGGTTTTGTTTCTCAAACTGGATTTTTACATTACACGTGGAGAGAAAATGTTATCACAGAGCTTAATGATTGCTTTAACATCATATTGAAAGTGGAATTTTCTTTGTGTTGCGATAATTCATTGATGTTTTTTTTAAAGATTTAGTCCAAATAAAAAAAATAAAAAACACAAAGAACTGAAGATATTTGATGAGAAATTGTTATTAATTTATTCTGTAATCACAGAATTCTGGAAATCTGTGCCACTAGATTTCTAGATTCCTTCTACTGAGAAATGTGTAGATCTAAGGAAACATCAGCTGCTAAAACAGGTGGTTTTGGTCAGAGAGCACAGCTGTATGTTCCTGCTCTCATGCTGGGGCAGGAGATGTGATAGAGCAACAACACCACCTTGTGGTGGTGTGTGGAAGTACTCACTCTGAGCATACTAGCTGCAGAAACAAGGTCTGGTCTCACAGAAGGAAGAATCCCCATATAGCCCTGATAGACGGGATAGAAAAGGGCTCAAAAGTTAAAGCATTATACTGAATTGGAGATCCGGAAAGAGGAAAACAGGCATTAAAACCACAAATACAACAAAAGTATTCACCCACTTCAACCTTTTTCCTGTTTAAGTTATGTTTCACCCACAAACTTCAATGTTTGAGATTTCATGCGATAAATCAACATAATCATGCAGCAAAATGAAAATAATTCATGCATTTCAATCAGGTGTCGCAGCACACTGGCCAGTACTGGAGTATGAGACCACAGCTTTAAACTACTTCAGATCTAGTTGTATGGTTGGGGTGTCGTCCAGCTGGAAGTTGAAGATCCACTTTGTTGTCTAAATCCTTTGCAACCTCTAACAGTTTATCTTTAAGGGCCACCGTATATTTAGCAATATTCATGTCCCCGTCAACTCTGACAAGTTTCAGTGCCCACAACATTATCCAGCCACCACCATGAATCTCTGTGGAGATGTTGTGTTCAGGGGGACGAAAGGTTCAAGGATGTTTTGGTTTTTGCTTTACAGAGCAGCTTGCGTAAAGGCAAAATAATTAAGTCCTCTTTTAATCAGAGTAGGTTCTTGGACATGCTTCTGCCCAAATGAGGCTTGCAAACTTTAAAGTCAATTTCTTATATTATGTTTTCTTGCAAATCTCTTCCATAAATGCCAGATTTGTGACATGCACAACTAATCTGTAAGTAAAATCAACCTTTTTAATCAAATGTCTTGTCCAGATATGAGCTCTTCTGCAGTTACTGCAGGGTTATCATTTGAAAGCTTCGCATGTAAAAGCTCTTTGCCAGCTCTGTTTAAAATATTCTATAAATTACCCTATTTAAAAACCTGACTCTGCCTTAAACATTTCCACAAATTCATCCCAACCTTCCTGCTGTTCCTTGATCTCCCCGATGTTATTTCTCCGTTAACATTCATCAACAGTCCTGAGAACCGGAAATTAAATTGACACATGGACTCCATTCGTTTACCAGGAAGGTAACCGTTTAGCCTGAATTCAATTTAAGGCTATTAGAGTCAACACGGCTACAGCATGCAACACTTTTTATGCAATTTTTTATTTTAAATTTAGCCATTTTTTCCCTTCAAAAAACATGCACTAACTGGTTTTAGTCTATTAATTCTCTACAAAATACATAGAAAGTTTGTGGTTATAGGACAAAAGGTGAAAAGGGTGTGAATACTTGTGCAAAATCACCATGCAGCAAAGACACATACTTTGAGAAATTAGTCAAATTTTGGGAGTGGTTTTTGTAGAGTATTTATGAGTAGTTTTTAGTTTATGAGTGAGACAGAACACCATTCAATCTACTCATAAATATTTTACATGACCTTAAAGGAAAAGATTTCATGTCACAAATCAGACTTTGCCAGAGACGGATTTATGGAGAGCTTATAAAGTTCAGACTCACGAGACCCATAGCTGATCCTGCAGTCCTCTCTGATGGGGGGATCATATCTGATGTCAGAGTTGAGGGGGGGTCTATGCCTTTAGTCACCTTCTGTTGGATGAAATGCATGGCCAGAGCAAACTGCTCTGGTGTCAGCTTGCCTGTCTGTTTTGTGTCAGCGAGTCCCCTGTGCAAAGGAAGTAAGAGTTTAAAAGAGAAAAACCCTGCAAACTTTTTTTCTGAGGATAGGTAGTAAAACCATTGGTGTCAAAAGTACACACATTTGTTACTTGAGTAGAAGTATAGATACTGCAGTTTAAAAACACTCGAAAAACACTTGAAGTATCAACTTGATCTCTTTACTCAAGTTTGTTTTAAAAATGTAAAGAATAGAATGTACAGAAACTTATTGGAAATTGTAACGAGTAGAAGTAATAAGTAGGAAGAAAAATAAGTAATGGAGTAAAGTATAGATACCTAAAAAGTGTACTTAAGTAAAGTAACAAAGTATTTGTACTTCGTTACTTGACACCTCTGACTAAAACGCCTCACAGATTAATGCTAAACTTTTAGATGGTTTGAAATGTCTAAATCACAGCTTGCAGAGATTCAGGTGGTGCAATCAGTTAGGTGACTTTCAATAACGTATTTTGACTGGGAATAATTAAAAAGCTCACAAACCAAAGGGTCTAAGAGTAATTTATGAAAGAAACAGGCTAGAATTATGCCTCAACAATGTCTGCTCCCTGTTACTATGATGCATATATCAGATATTTCACAGGTTTGCTGGATCCAAAAGTTAGGGTAATTCAGCATTTCCTCTAGATTTCATGTAAAACTTACCATAGACTAAGTAAAACGCCTAAAACTGCCAACTTAAGGTGGTGGACAGGTTTCAGTGCTTGGATTATCCCAGAGTAGGGCTCCAGCTAATGATTACTTTGCAAATGGAATCGTAATCGAAATTAATCGGATAGCCAAATGTTCCTTAAAGAAGATTTTTCACTAAATTAAACTAAAACTTGAGGGGTTCTGGATAGAGCATACTGACAGATGGAAAAACATTTTTTTTATCTTAAATGCAAAATGTATATATATCTTTTTACAATTTTGATATAATTACTTCCTTAAATGTGTTGTTCTGACAGTTAAAAGAATATTATACAGTCTCTATACTCCAGGTAACGATAAATCGATCACTAAATTAGTTGACGATTATTTCAATAATCGATGAATCCGATGAATTGTTTCAGCCTTATCCCAGAGGCTATGCTGTCTGGGGATTTAAAACCCCTGGTAGAGTCTCTCAATGCAAACAGCCTCTGGATTGAGGGTCGGACAAAGAGCTGTTCAAGGCACCCTTATGGTGACTATGAAATCACAGCACGGGGTATAGCCTGGTATGGGGGAGCTGACACCTCACCCTGGACACCCTGGATTATTAACCATATTAACAGGGACCGTAAACAAGTTTGTCTGTGTTTACACATTACAAAACAATTTAAGGTCAAATAAAACATTCTTAAGATGGAGATATGCAGCTGGTCTTCTGCTTAGATTTAAGACCTATTGCATTTTAAAACTGATTCTTCTTGCGTCTAATTTTAGTTGTTTCTGCACACTGTCAGCAGGCTGCAAAACTTCTTGCTTAAATAAACAAACAAATTCAGCTGTTTTGAACGCGAAAAAAATAATTTAACTAAGTAGTTTTGCTTAAACCTGTGAATCTACTTATTATATCAGTTTTTGGAAAAAAATATAACATTGAAAAAGAAATAAAAAAAAAATGTATTAAGCAGCAAGAACATTTTGTTTTTAAAATAGGATATTTTTAGTGCTAGACATTTATAGTTTCAGCGCCTTTTCCAGTGTGCGTTTTTTCATGCCTTTAGAAGCATCTGACGGCACACTTGCTTTGGACTAAGAGGTGGACTCACCAGATCTGCGCCAGCATCGTCTGAGAAAGGTTGGACTGCATGAAGATCTCAATAATATCCGTCCCGCTGATGAAGCCGTCCCCATCGCTGTCGGTTTTGTTGAAAAGCTCCCTATATTTTTCTCTGTCGGCCACAGGTACCACCCAGTTCACTGCAGCCTGTTGGTAACAACATTAAAAATTAGAGCATATATCTAATCTTTAATGCCCCTTTCGCCAATACAACATGCATTGATTTAAACAGCTATAAAAGTATAACAGTCCATCAACATTCAGTCACATTTCAACTTTAAGAATTGAATCAATTTCATTAGGAATGTAAATTGCAATGAAGTAAAATGCAATAAAGCTTGGCTTTTCTAAGACATTCATGATTACAAATCCTCAGTGTTGTATACATTTGTTTTCAGACCCCATTACTTTGACACCTCTAAATAAAACCTAGTGCGATTAATTTCATTTTCCAAGTGTTTTGTTAAATTTCTGTTAATATCCTGCAGTTGCTCTGTGAAGATTGGAAATTTATTGGAGACCAACGAACAAAGCAGATGAGTCAAAGACAATGATTTTGGGAGAGCATTTTAAAACAATATTCTGACCAGTAGTTTGGGTCACGAGACCATTATGGTACCACTTTGTGTGTCTGAGGCTGGATAAAGTGGGATGTAAATACATAAACACCAATATTTGAAAAACATTTGTTAAACTATTAGAAGCTGCAAACCACATAAACTAGTAAATATTTAGGCCCCAGTAGAGCGAATCCAAAGGCTAAATGACCTCCAGAGAATCACACCAAGTTCTAAAAATGATCTACTTATTTGATTCTGATTTGCTGAGGGAAATACATTTCAGTACAGTAGCGCCCCCTGTGGTTGTTTTGAAGTTCTGATTAGATTGAATCACAATCATGTTACAAACCTGAGTTTAATCTTAAGTAAACTATAGCAGAGTATCTGGGAAAGGACTTGAAATTTACATTTGTAGAAATTTATTAAATAAAAACATTGAAGTTGTATGTGAAAAAATATGCAAATATTCAAAGTGTATTAGTACTTGTGCAAGGCTCTGTATGCATTTTTAAAAATTTTTTAACATGGAATTTTTAAAGTCTTGGATATAATGGTACGTTCACACTGAATGCAGTTTCAGAGGCAGAAGCAGTCGGTTTACATGCAAAGTCTATGGTTGAAGCATATCAGAAGGACCTGCAGCACGTCTCTAGCAGCAGGTGCAGCGCACCTTGAAGTATCTGAGCAGCTGCGGCAGCTCCTCATGAGCATTTCAGCATCTGAGGCACATAACACCTTTCACAGGCAGCAGATGCAGTCTATTCAGTAGGACTATCATCTATTTATCCACCTGACTTCTGTACAACACAACAGAAATCCCACTTAAAACCTGTGAAGAGAAAACCATTTCCGGCTGACTATCTCTTGAAGCTCATCAAGAGAATGCCAAGAGTGTGCGAAGTAGAAGTCAAAGCAAAAGGCGGCTACTTTAAAGAACCTAGAATATAAGACATATTTTCAGTTGTTTCACACTTTTTTTAAGTATGTAATTCCACACGTGTTAATTCATGGTGTTGATACCTTCAGTGTGAATCTACAATTTTCTTAGTCATGAAAATAAAGAAAACTCTTTGAATCAGAAGGTGTGTCCAAACTTTTGGTCTGTGCTGTATATATAAACAGGGTAAAACTCTACTAGGTCTCCATAAAAGTCAAGAATATTCTTTTTTCCTGTTTGATCACTCACTGGGGTCGCTAGGGGTGCTGGTGCCAATCTCAGCTGTCTATGGGCGAGAGGTGGGGTACACCCCGGACAAGTCACCAGTCCATTGAAGGGCAACACAGAGACAAACAATCAATCACGCACACACTCACACCTAAGGAGAATTTAGGAAAACCAATTAACCTAACATTCGTGTTTTTGGACTGTGGGAAGAGTACCCTGAGAGAACCCATGCATGCTTAGGAGAACATGCAAACTCCATACAGAAACATCGGGGGCGGGACTTGGAACACGGAACCTTGTTGCTGCAAGGCAGCAGTGGTAACAACTGCTTCCCTGAGCAGTATTTTTGCCTCATTATTGCCTCAGTTACCTTAAAATGTTGAAACCTGCCAGCAAAATATTTTCACTTTTAATATACTGGTGTCTGCAGTTTGTTCCACATATCTGAAAAACACTAATGTTCTCTTCTAGCCGCCACGAACATCAGCATAAAGTCCCTTATTGCCGTTGTGAGGAGCTCTGCACGGCCATGACAGCAAAATAACAGTTCAAATTTTATGCTACATTTGAAAATAAAAGATATTAATAAACCGGCCATCAGAGCATGTTTTTGTCATTTGTGCAAGGAAATTACTCTCAGATTAAGCAGACAGGCTTTACCAGAAAATCTGCTTACTCAGCCCTCCTCTGGATGAACCGTTTTGGCTTTCCCAAACCCTGTCCTCCCAGAGTCAGCGCACCCACAACCCGTAACCATGACAACCAGTCAAGGTTCGTAAAGATAGTGGCTGGGAGGATGAAATAATACATTAGATGAAGGCTGTAGCTTGACTGATGGGCTGCTACAGACCGTTCTGGACAGTTTAATTCGCTTTATGACATCATCAGGGGAAAGATTTCCAAACTGACCCTTTTGAGCGCACATTAACTAAGAGGTGGAGAAAGGCAGTGAGAGCGGTGAAAGGGTTATCATTCTTTGTTAACCTCATACAAAAGCTTCAGGACACATGGCTGTTACAAAATTTTCATAATGGGAATTTTGCATAATATGGGACCTTTAAGGCAGGATCATAATCTTGAAGAACTGACTGCACAGACAATCTTTTGAAGTCTACTTTGTTGCTTAAAAACTAATTAAAACTGCTATTTGCCCACTTACATCACCAAATATAGCAAAGCCAATCAGCTGTTTAACAGAAGAGCACCACAAGCATCAGATGCATTTGTACATAATTTACTGTGGACAAACATTAAAGATGAAGCAGCAGACGCTTTTTTGCTGCTCAAATCGCCTTTGATTTGAATGTTAACAGGGTCAACTACTAAAAATTCAACAAACACTGACTGCTTTCATCCAAATCTGCTCTGAATAAAAAGAAAATGTGTAAATTTTACTGCTGGATGTTTACAGAGTTTGAGTGCCATTTAAGAACCGACCAATCAGCTTGATGGTTTGCTATTTTTTAAGTATTTTATTACTTTTTTCTGTTCGTAAGTTTTAAAAACTTTAAATTCAACATCAAATGGATATAATCTAAAAGAATTAAACCCATTTATGGTTCAGGTCAGATTTACTTAAGGGATATCGTATAATTTTTTATAAATCTGAAGATGATCAGAGTGATCGTTAAGACAAACCATCTTAAGTTAAATGTATGTTCTACAAAGATTCCGGGACCAACGACATTTACTTTCTTTTGTCCCAAGTATTTTGGTGATACCATTTGTTTCCTTTTCCAGGAAACAGTTTCTCAAAAATTCACGGGTGAAAAAAATCCCTGCAGGAGAAACAAACAGTTGTTCATACAATAGCCTCAACAATGTGGTAAAACAAGTCTTACTGTTGGCAACAGTAAAGTTAATACATGAATTACTAGACTCTCCAAAACTCCCAGATCAGAACCTGTAACACTACTTTAAACAAGTTAAATTGTTATTTGCAGAAGCAAAACAAACCAATACACAAGCAGAGCTTTTTTTCAACCCAAACTTTCCCCAAATCAAAAGCTGTAATAAATGAAATAAAATTTTGCAATTCATATCCAATAATAATAAAAGAAACTAATAAAAACTGAGAAGCAATCTTTTTATGTCTGTGAACTTCATTAAGTCTCTATAAACACCAAACATAATTCCTGTAAAATCCTTTATAAAAGGAAACTGAAAATAAAGAACTTAAATTATTTTTAACCCTCATAATTATACACTTTTTAAATTTTCCGTTTAAATTCTAATTTTTGTGAAATTTAAAACAAAAACAATCATCAGTCAAAGTCTCTAATGAATTGATATTGATGCCCACTAATCCTGCAACTAATGGTTATTTTGCTAATTGATTATTTTTTTGATAAATTGATTGATAATCGGATAGCAAAAGGTTCTTTGAACGAAAACTCAAAAGTTTCTACTTGAGGAACTCTGGATAGAGCATTTTAACGGACCTTTTTATTTTTAAACGCAAAATGTTTATGTATCAGCTTGGTATCATTACTGCTCTTAGTGGGTTGCTGTATCAGCTAAAGGCGTGTGTTAGAGTCTCTATACTCCAGTTAACGATTAATCGATTACCGTACTAAATTAGTTGACGATTATTTCAATAATCGATTATAATCCGATGTTTCAGCCTTAATGAACCCAGAAAAAAAAAGCATCATAAGTTAACGTACCGTTGGAGTGGATGCTGAGCTGGATTTAAAGGAGTGTTGTGGAGACAGTTTGACAGCACTGGGGCTGAGGGGATTAAAGCCACCCATAGCAGGAACAGTGCTCCCGATAGGAGGAGTGGAGCTTCTAAGAGAAGGAGAGCTCCGCAGAGTCTCTTTGAGAGCAATGGGGCTGGATCCAAGGCCAGGCAACACGGCCACGGCGCCCGGAAGGGCTGGTGCTGATTTTTTCCTTTTGGAAGGTGGGATAAGAGAGGAGGGCAGGCTGCTTGGAACAGGCTCCTTCTCCATAGTACGATATACAAGATGCATAGCCTGGAACATGATAAAAACAACTATTGTTAAAAACTTAGTCATGTTACATTTATCTTAAGGCAACAGTAAAAAACTAAAAAATAAACAAATAAAAATAAACACATACCACAGTGAATTCTTCTTTGTCCAAATGTCCATCCTTGTCAACATCACTAAGCTCCCAAATCTATAGTTAGACAACGAAAAATACTCAACATCTGATTGCTTTGAAATGTTCAACTATACAGCGGTATACAGGGTGTATATTACCTTTCCCAGAACATCCAGAGGTAGCTTGGAGTTTATTAAAACAGGTCGGACCTTGTCACCAGATAGGAGACCTTTTATAGGGGATAGACTTTCAAATATCGCCTCAAACTTCCCCTTTTCATCAGGCTAGAAGAGAATGAAAACATTAGGAAGACAACATTTTTCATTCAGTCTGAAATCTTCAGTCTGTTTTGGCTCACCCTAATCGCCCAATCAGACGCTGCTGATGATCCAGTTAGCAACGGGCTGTCAGTGTCTCTCTGTAAAAGATAACAGAACATACTAACCACCATTTGCATATAAGGGGAAATTCATAGGACTGATGTATGGGGGTTACTGGTGTGAAAATGCAAAAAGAGATTATAAAGGCATAGCTTATGAACAGATGGATTTTTCAGTCAAAGTTTTCAGTCTTTTTAACGGACACCATTAAAAGTCAAATCTGTCCAGTTGTATGGAGTAAACTAAAGAACTGCTACCTCTTGCTGCTTTTCTCTGAGCACTTCACTTTTTCCTCTTAGAAAAAACTAATTACACTGCAAAAAGTAACTGAGTCATTACCACGCCACCCATCAGTGTGTGAATGGTGCATTAATGGGTGAATGACTGAATGTAATGTACCATTACCTCGTTGAAGTAGCTTTGTTGTAAACTAAAGCGACAAACTTCAAGCAAAACGTCTGTAAAAGGTGCCAAGCATGGACAACTCTAGCCGATTACTTGAGTTAATAACCAGGTACTTTAGTAAACAAAAACATATAAACTGAGATAATACAAAGTTATGAATAACATTAACTTTTCAAAATTAGTATTTCAACATGTTGAAACATATTGTGTCTTAACTAGGGATAGTCCGATACAAGTTTTGATTTCCAATAAAAGGACAACATTGCAGCTTCAGGTATTAATAGAATCCGATATTCAATCAGCATGAAAAATATATACTATTATTGCTCCTCTTGCACCGTGGAATGGTAGAAAAGGCCTGATCAAGTGAAATTACTCGCACAGTTTTATTGACAATATGTTAATTTAAATTGAAACAAAAGTGGTGTTTCTATTAGCACATTATATGGCTGATTGTAGTGGTAGGCCGACGTATTCCGATAACCTTTTTTTGGCTGATATCAGACTGATATTTACAATATCAATATAAGATCTGGATCCCTAGTTTTATTTAAGGTAATTACACCATCTTATTGACTTTTCTTTTTTTTTTTCTTTTTTTTTAAGTACTAAGAAATCCCAAAAGAGAAAAATCATGTAGGACTGAAACAATTCATGATAATAATCATGAAAAATTTATTGTTAAAATGATTATAAAATTCTTTCATATTTGAAATAAATCTTTAAACAAAGTATATACGGTAACCTCTAAGATATAACATATGCTGAAATAATAACTGAAGCAGAGAAGTAATGAAACAAATATTGAACAAAAAAGGTTTAAAATTTAAAATGAAAAATCTCTGTAAATATACTGTTAGCTTTATCTGGTTCAGAATCTGTTACGACAATCTCTACTAATTCATTTTGCTATCATATTATTAATGCATTAAATGAAAAGTTTACAAGAGATGAATCATGCCAGTAAAATGATCATTTCTGCCCTAATTATAATGTAATCTGTTTTGCCAAATAGAGATGCTCATACGGTGCCTTGTGAACGTATTTGGGCCACTTAAATGTTTCGATCTTTTGCCAAATTTCAGGCTTCAAACATAAATATAATACATTTTAAGTGGCGCAGAAATATTTAGCGGAACAAAATTTACTGGATATTTTAAACTTTTTTTTATCAAATATAAAACTAAAAAAATTGGCTGTACAAAATTATTCAGCCCCTTGAGTTAATTCTAGCACTACCTTTTGCTTCAATTACAGCTGTATTCCCTTGGGGTTTGTCTCTATCAGTTTGGAATTGACAGACTGAAATTTTTGCTCATTCTTCCTGCAAAACAGCTGCAGCTCTATGAGGTTGGATGGAGAGAGTTTGAACAGCAGTTTTCAGTTCTTTCCACAGATTTTCAATTAGGTTCAGGTGTGGACTTTAACTAGGCTATTCTAATACCTGGAATTTTTTATTTGTGAAACATTCTATTGTAGATTTTCCTTTATGTTTTGGATCATTATCTTGTTGAAAGACAAATCTCCGTCCTAGTCTCTGGTCTTTTGCAGACTTTATCAGGTTTTCTTTCAGAATGTTCCTGTATTTGGCTCCATCCATCCTCCCATTCATTTTAACCATCTTCCTTGTCCCTGCTGAAGAAAAGCAGGCCCAAACCATGATGCTGCCATCACCATGTTTGACAGCAGGGGTGGTAGGTTTGGGGTGATAAGCTGTGTTGCTTTTATGCCAAACAAAACAATTTTGTTAATTGTTGCCAAAAAGTTTGATTTTGATTTCATCTGAGCAGAGCAGCTTCTTCTACATATTTGCTGTGTCTCCCCGGAGGCTTGGTGAAAACTTTCAATAAGACTTTTTATTGATATCTTAAAGAAATCTCTTTCTTCCATAAAGGCCAGATTTGTGCAGTATACGACTGATTGATGTCCTATGGACAGAGGTTCCCAACTCAGCTGTAGATCTCTGCTGTTCATCCAGAGTGATCATGGGCCTCTTGGCTGCATCTCTGATCAGTCTTCCCCTTGTTTGAGCGGAAATTTTAGAGAAACGGCCGGGTCTTCACAGGTTTGCAGTGGTCTGAGAACCCTTCTACTACAATATTATCACTTGCACAGTGTTCATTGGGATGTTTAGAGCTTGGAAAATCTTTTTGTATCCAAATCTTGCCTTAAATTTCTCCACAACAGTATCTTGACCTGCCTGGTTTGTTCTTTGTTCTTCACGATGCTCTCTGATGCTTGCTTTTAACAGATCTCTGAGATGATCACAGAGCAGTTCCATTTATACAGAGACATGATTACACACAGGTGGATTCTACTTATCACCATCAGTCATTTAGGTCAGCAATGGATGATTCAGAGATCCTCTCTGAAGTTCTGGAGAGAGTTTGTTGCACTGAAAGTAACGGGGCCAGTTAATTGTTGATGCCCCACTCTTTGTTTTTTTTTATTTGTTAAAAACGTTAAAAAATAAAATCCAATAAATTTTGTTCTATTTCATGATTATGTCCCACTTGTTGATTTTTCATTAAAGAAAATACAGTTTTCTTTGTCTGTGATGCATGAAATGTGGCATAATTAATGTTTGGGATTTTTTTTTTTTCTTTAGATCAAAACGCTTGCATATTAAGGCATGTTCATTTACTAGAAATAGCTATTTTTAGATAAAGTAAAAACAAACTAAAGACATTCATTAGGAGCTTAATTGAAAACTAAAATAATTATTAGATTCAGCCCTAGCACCATGACATTGTAGTCCTCTGATTTGTTAGTTTTTTCACAAATCTCAGTAGTATTCTCTTCCCTATTAAATCAAGGGCTACAGTACATGAGTAATTTTCAACACTCACAAATTTTGGTGCAGTTACACTTTGGTTGAGGCTGTTAAGGCTTATATCATTTCCACCCTGTGCTGACGCCACAAGTCTTAGCGCGATGAAGAAACCCTGCAAAGAAGGAACAAAGCAGAACAAATCTGCCATTTAATGCACACATCAGCATTCTACAAACAGAGCAACTTTATGGGAGGAATAAAGGCTTACCCTCTTATCCAAATATCCTTTTCTATCAGAATCTGCCAAATCCCAAATCTAAAAGGAAGAATATGAGATAGATGGTTAGATGACATTTACACAATTATGAGTAAAGATCTGGATAAGTTCAAGACCCACTTTTCCAAGTGTACTGTCTGATAATCCAGACTTTTTAAGAAACTGAGCTGCATCGCCTGCTGATATTTTGCCTGTGTTTGCTGGATCAAGCTGCAGAAAAATCAAAACAAACGACAATGTTAAAGGTTTCCCTATAGCTAAACTTTAAATTTGGATTTAACAAAGTATCCATCAATGTAGCTGGATAGGAAATAAATCTTACCTGTCTGTAATAATGTTCATAAGCGGCATTTCCATTTGATAACTACACAAAAACAAACAGATGACACATTAAAACAGTGCGAAAAAGAGTGGCATTCAAGTTTTTATGCTTTTTTTTTTTTTTTTTTATATACATGTGTTTTTTTACAAAGCCGGTAAAATACAGTGTTTAAAACAAATTGCTTTTGAAAAACTGTTTTACTTTCTGTTTAGTTACTTAAATTTCAACAAGACATTAAATTTACCCATCTTAACTACTTATAGACCTACCTAGCTAACTATGTTTACTCAGTAATAAACGAAAACTCGCTAATTCGGTTAAACAGACATACTAAATACGTTTTTTGGGCGCCTTGACGTAAAAAGAAAACACAATAAAACGTCACCGTCACTTGATAATCACAGACATTAAAAATTAAAGACTTTCTTTATCTTGTTTGACGTTGTTACCTGACTGAGAGTCATGAGCGCCGCCATATTTCCTGGTGTGTATTGTGAACGCGCCGCGCGCGCGCACACGCCCATAAGGGACAAGAGAACACCGGAGAAGAAGGGCGTATTTCCGGGATTGTGACGTTATGCTCCTGAGTGTTTCAGTGAGCTGACGGGTAGGAGGCACTGCAGTTAAACGGGTGAGCTTTCTTCCCAGAAATGACTAGGTTTTACTCCACATAAACTCTAAATACCGATGAGTCTTGAAAAAAGGGAATTCAATGTTAGAGAAACTTCATACTGGCACCTGATTCAATGTATATAAACAGGGGCGGAGCTAGATGGGGGGCCAGGGGTGGCCATGGCCACCCTTTGTCACCCCACTATTTCCCTCTAATACAGATGGTGGCAACAGTCAGAACTACAATTTAAGTTATATAGGGTAAAGAGAATATGATGTTCTCTGCTAGTCATATAGGAGTATTCAGTGAAATCATAGATAACTATTTTAATAAAACATTAAATAATCAATTTATGTAGATATTAGTACTTGTAAATATACATTTTTGGCAGAATGATTATTGATTAAAGTAGGTAAGTAATGACAATGGAAAAGATGTTCGCCCCAGAATTCAAACCTGAAAGAACTGTATCCACTATAATGTTTATCTAGGAAGCATGGATGTTTAAATATACTCGACTATTTGTTAGCAAAGGCTGTAGGAAAGGAGTTTTTTTTTTTATTTAGAAAATATGGATGTTTTGCTAATAAATTTTCCTGTTGGAACAGTGTAGATTGACCCTGAGGTTCTGGCACCTATCCACTTTCGCCCACCCCTCAGTGTACATTGGTTATTGCCTGGCCACCCTTATAAAAATGTTCTGGCTACGCCTCTGCAACACTGGGCGAGTATGTATCCAAAACTGTGGCCTACTCTGTTCTGATAGGGAACAGATGTGGTGGGGAGAACGCATCTGATACACGTGGGGAAATAAAACCTGGTTCCTTTGTTTCTAACCTAAAGACACGCTGATGTAGGTCAGATTGCTCAAGAATTAAATGCTGGTTTAACTAATAATCAGTGTGTTTGCACTGGATTCATTAAATGAAACTGTCGAAAAGCATCGAAGAAGAATGAAATAAAATAACTTTACCTGTATAGAATTGTCTTTTTAATATTAAAAAATAAAAGTTTTAGCGGAACAATGCCCATTAAGTGTATTCAAAATCATAATGTAGCATTTCCGGCATTTACTCATGGAAATCCAATGCAAATTTTTAGACTTTTGTTGTCAATGTGTATACACAGAATGTATGCAAAACATTTTTTTTTGTACAGCTTTCAGACAATAGAAAGCCACAGTTTAGCAGTGAAGTGAAAATTTTCATTCCATAAAGTGCAGCTGGGATCAAATGTGTGGGAGAAAAAAAAACATGGAGCAAATATGCATTGATATGAAAGGTTAGAGCAATTCAAGACATATTAGTGCCAGTATGCAGTATTTTTGGTTTGGTGTTATCAGTGTGATGCAGAGTTTTTGACCGATTTAGAGGTTTTTTTGTGTTCAAAAATCAGCTGTCAGTGGGGAAAAAGCTGATGCAGAACCTGCATTTAATGCTGCAAAGCCACTTCCCAGCAGCAGGGGAGAACAGTCCATGGTCGGGGTGTGAGGGGTCATTGATGATGTTATAGCCTTAGGACACGCAGCGCTGGGATGAAATGTCTTTTATGGAGGGAAGAGAAGCCCTGATGATCTTCTCTGCTGTTCAAACCACTCTTCTCACTTTTTTCCAGTCTGAGGTGCTGCAGCCTCCAGTGAGACAACTGTTCAGAATGTGGTATCAATACAGATTGAAGCATTACTAAAACTATACCCTCCCACTGTGTGTTATGTTTTTCAAGCATGCTATGTTCATATAGTTTTAAACCACTGTGGATTGGAAAAACAACTATATTTGTCTCTGGAGCTGCAGGCTAATGACACCAGTACTCTACCCTGAACAACAATCCATTGGGACTCAATTAAGTTAACAGTTAAAATAATCAGAGACACCTGGTTATAGTAAGGACTAAATAACTGAGTTACAAATACATATCCTTCTCAGTGTTTGGTTAAAATTATCTACATCCTCCAAAACTAAAAAAGACCAATGCAGCCTTGTATCAAAAAAAGAATGGAAACCTTGTTTTAAACTCTTGAATTTAAATCTAGGGGGAAAAGAAACCAATAAATCAGAACAAAAAATATGAATTGAGTTATTTGAACAGTGATTTAGACAAATTAATGTGTTATAAGCCTTACATTTAATTTAAATATAGATTTAATTGTAGAAACCTATCCTCTCAGAAATCTATATTTCAAACTGTTAAGGGAACAAGATATAGGGTCTGGAAATTGTAAGTTCTTTTCCAACTCTTTATTTTCATTTTCCCATAGTTGTGCAGATTTTCACACTTTCTTAAACAAAATCCTATACTTTTCAGGACTGCGTAGGAACTTGGTAGAAAATGTAAAATGAGAACAAAAGCACCTACATACATACCTGTTAGCATGAAATCATATGTTACACTGATTTTGTGATCATTAAAGTATTTTCCATGATGTTGACATTAGTGGCCAAGCAGCAAAATTAAATATAAAACATTAACAAAGCATCCACACTGTGACATGAAGGCAGCATCAGGCTGTGGAGAATTTCAATTTGTAGAGATGTCAAAATTGGTCAGAGGTAATTGGTAGATGGAAGGAGCAAAATTGAAGAGGAAAATCTGCCTGAAACAAGAACTGAGCACAAAAAAAAAAAAAAAAAAATCCACTTTCATATTGCAAGAATAGTTAAAAAAAAAAAAAAAAAGATATGCAATGTGTTTAGTGTATAAACTCTGAAAACTCACTTCCAAAGTATGCACTATTTTCACAAAAGTAAAACAAGATTGATTTAAGATTTTAAACAAGATTTAACTGGTTTTCATTACCCTATGGTACAACAAAGAAAAGTAGATAAAGAAAAGACTCCAACATAAATAAAGGTGAGGAGACAGAAAAAGTATTATTCTTTTAATAAAACCTTTGGCATCAATCACATTCTGTCCGGTTTACTTTTTTTTTTATATGTGCGTTACCCGTTGTGTGAGCAGCACTGACACGTAGGCATCTGTTTGTCCAGACTTTCTGGATTCAACTGCAAATCCTATCAAACTTCCATGGATGGAAACATACAAAAACAAAACATTGAAATAAAAAATTTACTCATAGGACTTGTTTTATCATTTCATTCAGCTTACAGGAACAAAAACGTAAAGGTTACAGTCAGTGCCAAAGAAACAAACACAAATAAATTACTATTTCCCCCCCCTATAATTAAGTTTTAATCAGATTTATTATTTTTTTATCTCACTGGCAGTTTCTAGTGAACAACTCCTAAAGTTAACCACCTGGTAATCCCGTCGGAAATTGAGATGCGTCGATCAAGAAAATCAAGAAAAACAGCAGATGTCAGTGCCGACTGAATGCGTCGTTAACAAAATGAGGAATGGAGTTTGTTGGTCAGAAACCACAGAATCAATTCAGCAGTTCAAGGGAAACCAAAAGAAATAAAAAGACACCGAGTCCCTTAACACCCACTCAGACACACATATACCCTCCCCCATGTTTTCTACTTCAAACCCTCAAGTTGGGTCATGTCCTGACCTCAGGGAAAAGGATGCACAGCAGCCACAAAACCCCTGGGAATGACAGGACAGTTTGTATGAAGGGGGTTTAAAAATATAGAGAAACTTCAAGCTACACCTTCTCAGAGCTCATCTTTGGGCTTTGAATCATCATCCTCATCATCATCTTCTGTCACTGTCTCCTCTGTCTCATCCTTTGCATCTTCATCCTCATCTTCTTTTTTATCATCTTCTTCATCGTCTTCATCATCCCCTTCAGTGGCTTGCTCTTTGTTCTTTTCCTCTTCCTCTTTTCGTTTTACCTCATCCTGCTCTTGCTTCATCTTCTTCTCTGGTTCCTGTGAAAGAGGTTTGAAAAAAGAATCACATTTAACAGTCAAAACTGAAAACAGTATTGTTTTCTCTCCATTTCATTACAAGCTTGTTTTTTTAAGCTCCCCTTTTCCTATTTGATTTTTTTTATATTGTTCAAACTACAGTTTCCATATTGTATCTTGTATTTATTTGCACTAATGCAAACATGATTTCCTACAGTTTTGTAGTGTCAGTTGACTTTCTAGATTAGTCTTTTCCACTTAAAGTGCATTATCTTTTAGTAGTAAATATTTTCATATGAAAACTTTGTTTAATAAAAGTTTTCCCTCTATGTTAATTTGTGAATTTTTTTTTGTTTTATTTTGCAATGATTTATAATAAAAGATTCAATTTCTTTAAAAATATTTTTTATATTTTTCCATTTATGAAAGTGGACTTTAACATTTTCAGTCCATTTCTCCATTTGTGAGGAAACACCAAATGAGAAACTGCTCTTTATCACATGTTCAAATTACTAATGAGGGAGAAAAAAAAAAAATTAAAAAAGCCAACATACCTTTGTCACGCCCCATGTCTCCTTTCCGACGTCTTCCGCTTCCTTCACATCGTCGCTGATCAAAAAGTTGTCGAAGATCGTCCCAGATTTCACCTGAGAGGCAGTCCCAAACGTTACACTGATCTTTGCACTCAGTTTCTGCAATAACAATGGTTTATGACCATCTTCTCACCTGCCAGAGATCAAGGCCGATAACGCCGATGTTGTCGAACTTGTAGATGGTGGAATCGGGACTATATTCAGGATTGTCGATCTCAGGATGCACCCAGGCTCCCTTGTAGTTGGGGTTGTCGATCTGTTTGGGTTTCCACTCTCCCTGTAATGCAGATGGGAGCTTGTTTAAGACAAGTACAATAACAGAAGCCTCTGATGGGTCAATCTTCAGCTAACACAGAATCTTGGTTCCTTGAGCTCTGACTTGCTTGTTAACAATATTAGTTTGACCCCTATGGAAAATAAAGGAATCAGAAGATTAATTCAGAACTTATTGTTCATTTACCCCCACAATGTTGAAGTCCTTCAAAAAGAAAAAAAAAACCCATCTAACAGCTTAGATTTCAATCTAATGATTGCAAA